GACGGTGACTGTATGCCCTTCATTGCTGGGATATCATGTGCGGTTTCGACGGTAAGGTGGGTGCCAGATCGTGATCTGTTGTGCGGTGGCCGTGCGGCAGTATCTACACGCAATGGCCGCTGATGATCGTCCCCCACAACTGTGCCGTCCTCGTCGGAAGATCGCTGCTGGTGGTGGGACATGTTGCTGTCCATGTCGTATGTCGGCTCTGGCCGCTCATAGTTGGGCGTACTCATAGTGGAGAGTCGCGCTCAGACCCAGGTTCGATAGGAAATCCAGTCAAAAAGCTACCGTGGGTGAGCAACGAGGTAGCGACCGTGTTTTGATTTTGCGGCGATTTTTTTGTAGATAACGCAAAATCCGATTGCTGAAACAATGGTATGCTTTTCCACGCCAAACCAGCAGTCAATGGCTTGCGCTCGCCCTTCCGGTGGTCCAGGATCAAACGCGAACTGCTGCAACGGGATGACGTCAAGCTCGGTGCCGACTTATCCAGATAGTGTTTTAGCGAGTGACGAAGAAAAATGGCGTGTTCAGTAGTAATTAATGGGCGATGGAGGTGAAGAAAGAAGAAGACAACACAATGGAATGGACAGCAGCGATGTTAGCAGGTGAGATGTGGAGCTCGCCCGGGGTTAAAGGAGCAGGAGCAGCGCTGGGCCAGGGATTATTTTTGGGGATTCCCGATCTGCGATTCCTCAATTTCGACGCCAACCCTTCGACAGTGACTGGCGCAAGGAAAAATGGGTCATGGAACAGACGGTGGACTTGTGTGGCCATGGCAAGCACATCGGGTGGGCCGCGTCGCTTTGTCTAGAATCTCTGTTGGGACCGAATCTGGTACAGAAAGCTGTAAGGATACGCGTCTTGCACCAACCACAGCCATCGAATATACTAGAATAAGCCCGTCGCTGGCCCTCAACGACGGCTGCGGCTATCCATCTCGGTCGAGAATGCCATGACAGCGGCGTCGCATACGCCGTTAGGTCTGCCAGCACAAGTTCTTAGCGACAGCCACCGACGTCACGCAGCATCGCAATGCAGGTCCCGGACGCTTCGTGTGTCGGTCCCTCAAAACTCTGCAAAGTGTGTCTATTTTGAGCTTGCGCAGTCGATGGAGGTCGCGCGACAGGGGCAAAAGTTAGAAAGAGCGCCAGTTCGGCCGCCCAGTCGGTCGCAACGCGTTCTAACTTTCTCACCCTCTGTTCTTTATCGCCTTTCACATGCCTAGGAAGCCTTATCCTTAATTTCCAGGGTCATTGCCGTTATCGCGGAAGGCTGTTTCAAACCGCCCGCGGCGTTCGAGAAAAGCTTGTCGCGTGCCGATCCTAATGCCGCCCCTGCATACCAAGGCTCTCCTTGGATCGCGTCGTGGGGGTCAGGATCGATGCACAACACTGACACCACCAGAGATCTCGACTCCAGCGTGTCAGCGTCAGACCCGCTGTATCGCACGTCTCCATCTTTCTCCCCAGAGTTGATCCGACGATTTGCGCAGGATGAGCGTTCCCTGTGCTGCATCCGTTCCAGACATCGGATAAGGCGGCAACTACCTCACCTCTCGCCGTTGCACAAATGTAACGACATGGCGGACGGGAAACACTCCACAGCGTCTCCATATTGACGAGTCGTGATTTCAGCAGCGGACGTGTCCTCGCAGGAAGAAGTCTAAGCGATACGTCCTCAGCAGCTGTGGTGGAGGAAGGCCGCTCGGCTCGTACAAAGCCCGATTTCCGCCTGTACTAAACGTGGTGGGTCGCTCTGCAATATGTCATAACCCGTATCCTGTGCGGAAGCGTCTTTGGTAACTTGCCGTGACGTAAGGTAGGGCAACCCTTAGTGCACTACGTCAGAGCAGCATTGTTTCCAATTGAACGCCGCGGAGCTTTTGTTACGGTGTCGACTTGGGCGCTTCAAGATTAGTGAATAGATGGTGGCTAAGGACCTCACACCAACCCTTGAAGACATCATCATCATCAACTAAGAATCAAAGTGCTATGCAATAGACCTTCTCCTGGAGTACAGCTCTGGTTCTTTCGGCTCTCAATAGAGATTAATATACTACATTCGCCATGTGCATATTCAAAAGATGTGTAGATTGCGAAAAAGCATGCCAAAAGTTTCTCCATAAGACAAGTAAACAGCATAAGCTATCAACAACATCATATCTAATGCAAGATCCAGTAGGCTGCTCGAGAATATAACATGCTTGTTCGCTGTCGCTAAAGGGATTGTTGCATTCAACGGTCGAATACCATAGCTTACCGAAGCAGCATTATCCCGTGCAGTATGGGACGATGCACTACTACATCAGGCAATATCCGGCTTCCGTCGATTGTAGCGTCCCTGTCTGTGAAAAGCAAAGCTCTCGTAGTAGTCTGATTCAGGGTAAAATTGGCGAAGGAATCCTCTTCACCCAAAATTCACATCAATCGACGGACATGAGATAATTGCCTATCTAAGCATGCATTCATTGAATTGGCTTTATGCTTGAGCACTAAGTAGATAGGCAATGTTTTAAAGGAGTAAATTGCTGCAGTATAGTGGTGAAGTGCACAAGAATAGCCCGCAGCACGAGGGAAAGCCGAAGGACGAAATGAAGCCCATGTCCTTCATCCTACATTCTGCTATAATCTACATCTTCGCGAACCTTCCCGATTGGGCATGAAGTAATCTTCGATACAAACTTCATGTCTACGAAATATAGATTCGGGGTAGAAAAGACAGGAGTCCGCTAGATACACTCACCGTACCGCACTATAGGAAAGTGGGGAGGTGAACATTGAGGAGTATGGAGAGCGGACTCCATTCACACCTGCTATAATCTACGCTCACAGATTATTACCTAATGCAGTAATTATATACTGGCAAACCTCAAATATCTTGAAGCATGTAGGAGTAGAGACGAAGGAGAATGATCAATGTTGTGATGTTGCTTGGAGACTGCTCATCCCGATCGGGCTAAAGTCGCGAGGACATCACGTCATACCAGAACGAGGAAGGCGCGACGCGAGCTCCCAGATGCGCATCTTCCCCGCAAACTCTCTTGACTTTTGCAACCACACAGTCACAATGTTCAGCCTACCAAGATTATCTCTGCCTTCTTTTCTTCGCGCCGGCGAAGGCACGCATCTCACCGCCGACCTCCCCTCTGTAGAGATCCACGACATCGAGACCTCGGCAGAGAAGCGACCGCGAACTCTCAAGCACCTACTCAAAGCGAACCACGCCAATTACGCAATCATATACCACAACCTCACTTTTCACAACCATACACCGCACGTATGCTGCTCCTCCTGCAAAGGCTGTAGCTGCTAAGCATGTACCCTAGATCCTGGGATCGACTTACCTTCTGGGAGGCACCGCAGAGCATCTGAACGAGATCTACGAGAGAGAGGCGGAAGTGCTGGAACCTTGGCATGATGCGCCTGGTGAGATAACAAAGGACGACTGGCGAGAGTTTCTGGGGAAGCGCGAGTAAGTAGCTGCATGATGGTACGATTGAATAGGATCAGGGTCAGTCGCTGATGGGCAGCCAGATACCAACGCGCATTCATTGATTTCTTCGAGGATCAGCTCGTGAGCAAGAAGTACAATGTTGAGGAAGTTCTTGAGGAGTTCTTGCTCAAGGGCAAAGAACCGCTGATCAACGGCCTCATTTCAGGACGTAAGCTTGCGCTCTTCCGAAGCCCGGATATCGCTAATTCCATGCAGTTGCGCATCCTCTCATTCATCTCGGCTACGCTTACGAGCTCAACTCCACGACCGTTGCGATCGAAGCCCTAGCGATGGGCTCTTGCTTCTACAGTCCGCTCCATAAATACATCGACGATCCAAAATACACGAAGACCAGCCCTCATGAGGCGACTGGCAACCACACCGGGCTCATCGATTTGTTGGACAAAGTGCGCAAGGATAAGCGCTTCGATGGACTGTACGATCACCGCAGCGGCGATATCACGAAAGTGCTGGAGGAGCGCGAAGAAGCCTTTTTGGAATACTGGAATGCTTGGGAAATTACCGCCCCGAACGAACAGTTCCAAGCTGCTCAGGAGGTCGGTTTGGGGCTTTTGACAGGAACACCACTACCTGAGAAGGGAAAGTACGACTTCTTCCTCGTACATGTGCTTACAAGCTCTCACGCTATTCGCATCCTTCTCCCGTTGATACCGGCCAAGTTCCATGTCAGTCTTATACGGCAATGGTGGCTGTTCGCGCTAGCTGTATACATTGCTCAGACGAGGCCAGAGATCGATATGGGTAGAGCGATGACTGGTGACGACAGCCAGAAGAAGACTTGGAAGCATATTGTGGACAAGGCCTTGAACGGGTCACATTCCACTGATGCGCATTATGTAAAAGGTATGTTACGAGCCTCTTGCCAGACCGCGGTGTTCGTGACTGACATGACGCAGCATTGCGTGCGTTGAAGGTAGCGGAGGAAACATGGGGAAAGGGTAGTGACAAATCAAACCACTGGCTCTGTGCGGCAGCCAAGTTTGCCGATGAATTTGAAGGCTGGGGAGGATTTGAAACGGCGGAAGACGAAGCAAAGATGGGATATCCTGAGAAGCAGTAAGGTTTAGTATACAGTATGGGAAAGATAATGTATGCGCAGGTCTGATTTCATGGAACGTTCCCAACCTGCTCGACGGTGACGCACTCACGTGGTCTGATGTGAAATTGGCGCAGAACTGATCATTCACCACTTTCTGCCTTCTGTCTGCTGACTCTATTTCCTGGCGACAGTCGCTATCATTACCATAGCACGCAATACACTCTAGCACCTGACTGCAAGGACTACCTACTTCTCTCCTCTGGAGAACCATGAGTACCAGCCTCCGCTATTCAGCTGCAATCAACCATACAATGGACGCGTACCCCCCTACCACCACACCAGATCTATGCACCCAATACAAGATTTACTGGCGAGACTGCGGCCATGAGTACAGCAACGTCGGCGATGTAGTCCCCTGCCAAGCAGCTGCGAACAACCTCCCATGTGCATGTAGGACAAATCTCAGAATCCTGCGCGACATGACTACTTCTCGAGGCGTAGATGGTCATACTAGAGTGCTGAGTGATGGAACTGAGACTGGATTTTGCAGGCCGTGTAGATTGGAGAATGAGAGGGAGAGGAAAAAGGAGGCGAAAAAGCAGAAGAGGAAGGTGAGCAAGGCAGAGAAGGGTAAGAAGGTAGACGGCGGTAGCAAAGTCAGCGGGTTCGGAGGTGTGTTTGGAGGGGAACGGAATGTTAGGGTGGAGAAGAAATATGTCCAAGTGGATGGAGGTGGAAGTGTAAGTAAAGATGACTGGGAGGTGGGGATGCCGCCCAAGACGATTAAGCAGTACCAGATGGATTTAGAAATGCTCAAGGAGAGCATTGAGACGGGTACTGGGAAAGCGATGAGTTTGTGATAGGGCTTGGTGCAGAGTGGTAGTTTGGTAGCTGGTAGAGAGGTGATTAATGGTTCAATATGTAGGCGTTCTCGTTGGCCAGCCGAACATGCAACCATGGTCGACGCCCTCGCTCTTCGAATATATTTTCCATTTCAACTTAAATATAGAAATACATCACCGCAAGCATTCTCCTTACTTCGCACATTTGTTTCACAAACACCACAGCAACATCACTGCAAGACAATTTCGCAACACCGCTTTAGAAGATGTCCAACATGTCACTTCAACCACTGTGGCCAACGCGCCAACAAGCAATCCAAGTAGATCTCACCATGACACGAGAGCTCCTCCGCGTCTTATCTCGCGGTGGAAACGGCCATCCTCTCCACCACGACTCCCTCTACCAGTCGATCTACCTATCTAGCGCGATGGCCTCACAACTTCTTTACGATTGGCCAGTCTTCCAGGCTCGCGCACTCGCCCCTCTCTTCCTCAGTCTCAAACAGAGATACGAATTACAAGCAAGGCACTACCGAGCTTGGAGGATGTTGGTCACCCAGGGCCTTGCAGCGGAGGAAGCGATTCGTCTTCCGATTGATGAGCGCAGTTCGGCTAATAAACCTGCGGTTTGGAGGTTGCTTGATAGACTCTCTGCTTTCCCGAAGTTTGGGGCGGTGGATATATTAGAGGTGGGAGGGTTCAGGTGTCAATGCCGGAACTGCTCTGAAATGGCATTAGATTTGGAATTAGACAGGGGGGACATGTTCGTGCAGCCGGGTTACTGGTTTGCGGCGGTGGTATTGAGGTCAAATTGCGACATTGAGAGTGTGATGGAGGCACTGAAGACATGGGGTGGGTTTGGAGAGTGGGATGCGCGCCATAGATGCTATGTGCCTGATGAGAAGCTGAATGAGGAGTGTGCGTATGTTGAGAAGGTCGAGGAAGAGGAAGACAGCCTTGAAAGAGGTAATATAGGTATATTGTTCGGAGAGGAGATAGAAGAGGCAGAGGAAGAGGAAGAGAACGATGTTGAGAATACCCAAGATATCGATAAGTTATCTCGACTACAAACCGAAATCGACAGTGAGAGCGAAAGCTCCACAAGCATCGAAACACCGCCTTCGACAACCGAGGAGCTTGTAGATCCTACACTCACGCTGTCTCCCGTTCCGACACCAACAGATACCTGCCCAGAACACTGTCCCTCACGCCGGCGTCGCCTCCGCGATGACATCCGCAATCCGAAATATCCATCGTGTACATACCACTGCCACAGTCCACACGCTCCTTTCGAATTCAGACCAAGCGGCGAGCAAGTTGGTTTCTGGCTTCCTCATGGACTGCAGGATAAACAAGGAAGGAAAGCATGGGCTGTGGCGACTAGCAAGAGAATGACGGATTTTAGGACGGCATGGAAAAGTCTGTTTGGAAATGACCATGCAGGTATCAAGGCTACTATAGAGATTCAGCGGTGTGTCTGGGATTTCATTAGAGCGGATTATGGGTATGGTGAGCGGAGTAACTGAAAAGTTGCTTCTGAGGTGGTTTACGCATGTAATGAGTCGTAGAATGCGATGAACGAATGTCGCACAATATGATTCAGCTTGAGTGTGTGTTAATGTTCACTTCATTGAGGCACATGTCCAAGGTTGTGCTCTGAAGTCCTCATCTCCGTCAGGGCTCTCAACTAATGCGAGCTTTATGCGGCTACCGATCGAAGGATATTGAGTTCGTTGACCATCCCGGGTAGAGTTCTAGATGAAAGGACTTCCAAGGTCGGTTCGGAGTTCGGTAGCGCGTGGCCGGCGGCCTGCAGAATTTACCCGCCGGACATGAATATGCTGTTGTGTACATTCACACCCCGCTAGGATGTGCCGATGTTGTGGTTCAATAACGTCTCATGGTGTATTGTGGTACTCAATCGCTCTTGAACCAGGTGTCATTCAGCGTTGCCCCTCGCCATCCGGGTGTGCTCTAGCTTGATTAGTGTCTTGGCGTCATGTCATCCTTACCTAGGTACTTGGGCCGAGTTCGCATCTCTAGCCTCAACTCGCTCTTCGCAACACCCATCTCAACATTTGTATACCATGATCGCCTGCACTACCTAGATACACACCAAACCCCTTCCTGTGGCTCGATCCGCTCTTGTGAAAAGGAGCGTGTCCCTCCGTTCAGCCGCAAGCCAATCAGCCATGTCGCCAGGGTATGGGTGCAGTCGCAATCTCAAGAGGCCTGCTTCGCGAAGTCGAAGGCCCTCGCTTTCTGACAGGCGAGCGTCACGCCATCGCGCTACAGGCGAATAGAGGCTTTCGTCCGACTAACCGACAAGGAAGACCTAACACCAATGATGCGGACCGCTCCCGCCACTGCTTTAGTCTGGAGATCACACCCAGCCTCGGACTAAGACTTGATACTTCCTGCATACCTTGATCAAACCTGTATTGCGCCCCGGGGCTTTGGGTAATCGCCGTCTAACCTAACCACTGGAGTCGAGCAGCCGTTCAACACGCGCGCAACTTGAACCACCTCCGGATCAGTCAACTCCTGAGACAACGCCGTACACGTGGCTGTGTTGGTGTGCCCACTTCACACCAGTCGCAGCACACGTTCGCAACCACAACGATAGGCCACATGCTGTGCCCCTCCGAGCTCTCCGCGAGATTGTAAGGCTGCGCGAAAGGTTCCTCGACTGCCTCAGCAGAAACACACGAGGTGTCGAGCGTTCTGTGAGGTAATGAGAAGCTCTTTTAGCCGGCATGCCAGCCGCTTTATGCTCAACGCGACATTGCCACTATGGTCTCCCAACTGGTATACTTTTCCGCAGCTGCATGTGGCACAGCTCTGCTGTGCTACTCATCACGAAAAGAACCGCACTGGCGGGTCCGTACCTGATACGCTCACCCTGCTTTTTGCTACCCGCGCCGCTCACCCCACATTCCATACAACATGTCCGCTCTCGCAGTAGCTGTCGATCGGCCTCTGCTCAACAGTCTTTCTAGCGTATGTCTAAGACGATGTATCATCAAGTCATTTTATCGGACTTGAACTGGACGCCCATTGTTCAGATCATCACTTGGTTCACTCTCGTCACCAGCCTCCTAGCGTTCTTCACGCATGCTGGTATCAAGTTCTATGTGTTTCGAACATTGACGATTGAGTCATGGCTCGTACTTGCAGCCTTGGTAAGTCAAGCATCGACATATTCAGCAAAGTTCACTGATAGATATTGCCAGATATTTTGCGTCGCACAATCCGTCGCCGTATTGCTGCAAGCACACTACGGTTTCGGGAAACCGATCGCAACTTTGAGTGGATATCAGATTGAGTCGAACCTCAAAGTAACCTCCTACCTCCGCCTGAGTACCTGGTCTGGATCGCTGATATGAGCCAAGAGCGAATATGCTGCAATGATACTCTTCATCGTCTCCCTCGGCTTCTCGAAGCTTGCTGTCGTAGCATTCGTCCATCATCTGACTCCCTCCGAGCTCCACCGCAGAATCAACTTTGGCGTCTTGGCTCTTATAACCCTGTGGCTGGTTTGTTCTGTGTTGGTCGCAGCATTCGAGTGCCGGTTGCCACGGCCATGGGATAGAACATTGGATCGGTGCATCGACCGTGTCAGTAATCTATGCAGATGGGTAGTCGGCTTCTGGCTGACGTTAGACAGTTGACCTGGTGGAATACCGTCTCATGCTTCAATATCATGACAGAGCTCGCGATCGTGGCCTTGGAATTGGGCATAACATCGCAACTTCACATGCGACAGCAACGGAAGGCAGCGGTCATGGCTTTGTTCTCATGTCGGTTACTGTGAGTACGAAGCCCTACATACACATCAAATACTGACAATCTGCACATAGAGTCCTTGTCGCTGCTGCGGTTCAGCTTAGCTTCTTCAATCGCGACAGCACCAATTCCACTTTGAAAGACGACCTGACACTCGGTTACTGGCGCTCGTCTATCTGCAACCAGATTGTGCAGTGCTTTGCTATCGTCACTACATGTCTTCCCTATACCAAGCTATTCATGGAGGGTTTTGAGTCAGGTCTCATGCGATTGGACGATCTGCGCCGTAGAGGAGAGCAGACCTCCAAAGACGACAGCAAAGGATATCAACTCATGGACATATCACGATCGGGACGCTCCGAAAATTCCAGACCCTCATACAGCGGGCCGGATAGGAGCATCCAAGTATCGAAGAGTTGGGCAGTGCAAGTAGAACCAGTAGCCCGCATGCCGGCTACAACAATACTGCAGTAAATCTATCTCTACAGTATGCATCCGGTCCAGAAAGCACAAACCAACGCATGCAAAATTTGCCGTGCATTTCACAGGCGCACACCCCTGCTGTACCCTCGTTTCGCAGTGCAGGTGGCACGGCACGCAGCATATGCGCCTAGATTTCTTCCAGCAGGTCTTCCGGATTGGGACAACTGGTGCTACGATCCTATTGGTGAACAGGCTATAGGTCAACGGTCAGGATCATTACGAGGATCATCTCGGCTACAATGTTGTGCATAAGCGGCCCTAGTTCTTCATCTATGCGGCTACTTGGTTCTAACGGCAACTCGGTTCTTTCTTTTTATCCTTCTACTTGTTCTCTCTTTCATTTCCTCCATCATCGGTCGTCTCACGAGTTCCGCTTTTATTGCTGTATCGACTTTTCAGTTGTGCTTGTATTGGTGGCACGATGGCGTTCTCTTCAACTAAATCCAGTGAGCCGGAACTGAGTACAACAAGGCCACGTTCTAGCGACAAGCACGATGATCTTGCGCTGGCAAGATTAGGGAAGAAAGCTGTACTGAAGGTATGTATCCCTCTGCATTGATCGCCAACATGGCTGATGCAAGTACAGCGTCGCTTCGGCTTCCTATCTATCCTCGGTTTCAGCTGCACCGTCTTGATCACCTGGGAAGGATCTCTTGTGTACGTCGTACTACCTCGTACTACACGTTGACACGTCGCTGACAGTTTCTCAGGTTGTTCCTGGTCGGCTTCCAGAAGTGAGTACACAGCATGACACAATACATCGACCATGAGACAGCTGTGCTGAAAGAAGCAGTGGCGGCCCCGCTGGTGTCATCTATGGCTACCTCATCGTATGGCTCGGCACCGTATCTGTATTCATGGTGCTCAGCGAGCTTGTTTCAATGTACGTCCAGCTTGAAATCCGCGTTTTGCGACGAGGGGACAATCGCTAACCCTCCTCAAAGGGCGCCTACATCTGGTGGTCAATACCACTGGGTTTCCATGCTTGCACCAAAAAGCTCTCAGAAACTGTTGAGTTACATCTCAGGTTTGTAAACCTTAAACTCGACGATCTCTATCGATGGCGTGTGCTAACGCGACTTCCCCGCAGGATGGCTCACTCTATGTGGCTGGTTAGCATCACTCGGGTCCGGCGCTTTCCTCACCGGTGGCCTCATTCAAGGCCTTCTCATGCTCTGCCAACCGGATACGTACGTCCCTCAGAACTGGCACGTCACTCTCCTCTACTGGGCCATCATCGCGTTTTGCGTCTTTATCAACATTGCCGCTGGGTGGCTACTCCCCAAATTCGAAGGCGCGCTACTGGTCTTGCATATCCTTGGTTTCTTCGCTATCTTAATTCCTTTGCTGGTCCTTGGGCCACAGGGTGATGCGAAAGAGATCTTCACCACGTTCATAAATATGGGAGAATGGCAGACTCAGGAATTGAGCTTTTGTATTGGGATTATGGGGAGTGTCTTTGCCTTCGTTGGTGGTGATGGGCCGATTCATGTGAGTATTTTTCTACATTAGGTCTACTTCTAGCATCTGGCTTCGCAGCAAGACACTAACACATCATCACAGCTGTCTGAGGAGATCCAAAACGCACAGATCGTCGTACCTCGCTCCATCATGACTGGCATCGCCATCAACGGCTCTCTCGGCTTCGTCATGATGGTCACCGTGCTCTTACGAATGGGTGATCTCGAAACTGTACTTCTAGAGAACCCTGCGTTCCCTTTTATGGCTATCTTCCACCGTGCCGTTCAATCACGCTCCGGTGCTGCTGTCATGGCATCCATCGTCATGGTGCTGACGATCAGTGCGAACGTGGGCTTCTCCGCTTCAACATCAAGAATCTGCTGGGCATTCGCTAGAGACCGTGGTCTACCTGGATGGAGAACCTTGAGCAAGGTATGCATACTACAAAACCTCCAATACGAAAGAAAGGTCGTACTAACATCCACCAGGTCAGCGATCGTACATCCATCCCCGTCTATGCCGTAGCCTTTACAAGCTTTATCGCCTGCCTTCTCGCACTAGTGAATATCGGATCCACCACCGCCTTCAACGGCGTAATCTCCGTCGCTATCGCCGGCCTCTTCTCCTCCTACCTTCTCACATCCTCCCTCCTCCTCTACCGCCGTTGCACCGGCGCCATCCTCCCACCCAGCGAATCCTTCGACACAGACAGCCAATCCACAACTAGCGACGGCATGGTACGCGCTGTATGGGGCCCCTGGCGTCTTCCCGGCGCGATAGGCATCGCCAACAATGTCTTTGCCTGCGCCTATCTTAGCTTTGTTTTCTTCTTTAGTTTCTGGCCTAGCTTTGCGGAGGTTACGCCTGCGAATATGAATTGGGCGATTTTGGTAACGGGTACGATAGCGGTCATCAGTGCGGTTTATTATGCGGTTTGGGCGAGGAAGACGTATCATGGGCCTGTCGTTGAGATTGATGAGCGAGATTTGAGTGGAAGGGTTAGTATCGTGGAGCAGCGTCTTGAGATGGGTAGTAAGTAGATGGGCTGACGTAGGTATACTGTGTCGTACGTGACTGGTAATTAGGGCATTTTGATAACAGAATAGAGTGTGTTTAGTCAGATATCCAAGATCTCACGAAGAAATCGTTCTTATCATCCTTCTTCCTGTAGACGTCCCGCCATAGGGCTAGTTCTGTGGCCTTCACATACCCCACTCACTCCAATCTGAAATCCACGATCTCAATCCTCACACCATCTCCAAGTTCCTCCAAAAACGTCCTGCGTATCCCCTCCCTCTCTCTCTCTCCCACACCAGAAACATCCCTCAACACCACCATCTTCAATCTCGGCAGCCCACAAAGCATGATATATTCCCGGATCCACAACCATCTCCCCGTGGGATAATATTCATGGTCCGTAACAACCAACTCAATCCTATTTCTCTGCCCAATCGTAAACCTGTGTAGCATAGAATGAAAACCCGCAAGTACCGTTGCGCCGAAGGTGTTGTGGATGAAGGGGTAGTAGGCTCCTAGGTCACGTCGAATTTGGCGGCAGGCGAGTGGGAGGTTGATGGCTAGCTTCTTTCGGATGGGGTGCATTTCCCAGGATTTTTGGTGGGGTGGGCGGCATCCTATTCGTTTCTTCTTGTCGTTACCAGGAAGGGTTACGAGGTAGATTTCATGGCCGCCTAGGGCGTAGTAGTAGATTTGGTTTCGGATTTCGTTGGGCAGGCGGAGGAAGGGTGAGGTGATTTGGTTTCGTAAGGAGATGGCTAGGTGGGCGGAGGTGATGGTTTTTGAGGTTCTTGGTGACATGATGGTGGTGTTGAGATTGAGGAGAAAGTGGTATGGAAGAATGGGACTGAGATGTAAAGCTATATAAATCTATGTGAGAAGAACGTTTTTTCAAAGAGGACAGTCCCAAGAGCATGACCCGTGGGTGGCTAGACTCATAATTCTTGAAGTGAGTCAGTACCAAAGTACCACTCCAAAACGTCGAATCAACAGCTGTGTATTGGAAAGTAGGACATAAATACCCGTACCCAATAGCAGGCACAAGAAGCCCACTTATCCTCCCTTCGATACCAAGGAGCACCTACTCTAACCCATCTACATCGGTCTTTAATCGGTTCTCAGTCTGCTCGATATGGGCATCTCAGAACTTCCTCATAGCATCATTGACCAGATCCGCCCCAAACGTCGCTCCAGCCCCGTAAACGGCCGCATTTCCAAATTTATGCGCTAGTTTACTCGCCCATTCGTGGTGCTATCTTTCAGTCAGCTTCCCTAGCTTCCAAAAATCACCTGCAGACTTTTGTCCTTTTCTTTTTCTTGCCTTTCAAACTCATAGTCTTGACGTAGCACGAGGCACTGAATTTAGTAGAATAAAGGCATACCTTTGGATGATTCGGATTCGCCGGATGCGCCGGATCCTGCGCTTGTTGCGCGACGAGCGCGGGGTTGAATTGGTTCCCTCCATCTACATACTTGGGATCGATGTATTGCGAGGGTTGGCCATTTGGTTGCTGGTGCCCGTTAACATCTGCTCTTCGTCTTCATTCATAAACTCCCCTCTTCTACCTCTTGAGCCCAATGATGAGACAAGCAGACAAGACAAAGGCAGGAAAGATGTAGTAGAAGATACACGTACAGGTAACTGCGCCTGAATAGACTGCAACTGCGGCGCCGCCAAAACACCACTTGAAACGAGATATTCGAGTTCGGTTTTGATGGTACTGATGGAGCGGTTGATCTGTGCTGCGTCTGGCATCTGGATGGTATACTTGCGTTCAAATGACTTTGAAATGGAATGAGACGGATCGATTGTAGGGAAAGCAGTAAGGCGAGTAGTAGTTCACTGCCAAGTTAACAATGATGCTTGGCAGAAAGCTTGATCAGGATCGAGATAAGGACGGAGGAAGCGGGGGATGTGCGGGTAGGAGGGACGTATGACGTCAATATTCTAGACCTTTGAAGCTCTGGCACTGATACGGGGAAAAACAAACCAGGTGCGCTACAGTGTACGTTGGTAATAACCATTTACTTACCATGTTGAAGGTAGCTTAGACCGACGTGTTTACAGCAATGATGCATCATAGGACATGCGCGTTTAACGTTTCACTTGGATGGGTTGAAAGTCACATCTTATAGAATGAAGATATGGTAACAACAGCTCGATAGATAGCTCTCATTCAACAGCTATATACTAGAGAGCATGATCTCTTATCTCTATACGATATACAATTCTATAGTCCTTCCCATCCAACAATATCGGAACAGGGTATTTTCTATGGACCTTCTTTCGGGACGCCAATGACAAGAGATTTCGTAGCTATACAGAACAAAAGTAGAGAAGTGGTGTTTGCTGGGCGACTTTGCTTTTCTTACACCTTCTTCGCTTCAGCGGGCTTCTCGTCCTTGCCGGTGGGGTCGTCCATCTTCAAGGCGCGCTCATCCTGTTCGGCACGCTCGGCGCTTCCACCGGCGGCATCACCAGCGCTGGCCTCGGCTTCTTTGCTCTCCTCTTCGGCCTTGGCTTCCTTTGCCTCCTGTGCGTCCCGGGCAGGCTTCTCGTCGATGTCCTCGTGGTCCTTGGGCGAGGCTGTGGCCTTGTTCTCAACGGTCTCGGTTTGCTCGTTCTCCTCGTTGATGAGTTCTTGCTGCTCCTTGAGGACCTCAAGACGCTGCTTGTTGGTTGCGGCACCTTCGGCGTTGCGGACCTCGAGATCCATTTCGTGGTACAGCTCCTCAGGGATACTGGAGAGGACGGCTTCCAAAGCATCGATTTGAGAGGTCATCTCGGTCTCCTTGCCCTGGGCGTAGACGAATGCGTTGGAGAGCACGAGGAGAGTTGAAGGAACGCCGTGCTTCAGGCGGAGATCGAGCCAGCTAGTGAGGTCGTCCCGTAACCGGCCAGGAGAGACGCCGTAGGTTCGTAGACCGCGGCTTGCGCAGGCGGTCTGAAGCTCGGGGACGGAGAGGCTTTCAACACCTTCATAAGCAATGGCACGGTCGTCACGCTTGATCTGGCGCATGCGCACGCGGACCTGGTAGCGCAGGAAGTTGTCTGTACCGAAAGAGGTGATGTTCATGTAGCGGCAGATGGAAACCAACTGAGGACGTGACAAGTTGTCCAGGGTAAGGTCATCCTTGAAGATCTTGCACACCTTGATGATCTCGTCTGGTGTTGGCTTCTCTCCAGTGGTGCGCACCTTGCGGAAGAATTCGGCAAACTCCTCCGTCTGCGCGTTCTCAGCAGAGACTGGAAGACCAGTCTCCTTGAGTGTTTGGCGAAGGAAGTCGCTGACATCCTTTCGGGTCGCTCGGAGCGTCTGGGCTTTGGTGTCCTTGGCCGACTGACCCTCGTATGTGCTGGGCAGCATGTTGGGGAAGAGCTTGAGCGCTACGGGGAGCAGCAGTTCAGCGAAGGGGACGATGACGAAAGGCAGGAAAGGTACCAAACGAGCAAGATCCTGCACGGTACGTTGCAACTAGTCTTGTCAGCAACTTTCAGAAAGAACGGCATCTCAAACATACCTGGCGACGCTCACGACGGGTAAGCTCGTATCCGGCTGCCATCTTGAGAGCGAGCTTGGAGCTGATCCGGACCTCGAAGCCCAGCAGCTTGGTGCCATCCCAATAGTGAACCAATTCCTTCTTGACCTTTTGCCAGACGGTCAACTTCTTCTTCTCTGCGTCCCTTTTGGCCAGGATCTTCTTCTCGTCCTTGGACTCAGCAGCCGACTTGTCCATCTTCAGCTCGCTTAATGTTTGGACATCTTGCGCGGGTGTCTTCGGGTTGGAGGTTGCGCCAGACTTGGGGATGATGGGGTCTGATTTCTCGACAGACTGTTTTGACTGTTGCTGAGGCTTGAGGAGGTGCTGGTTGGCCTGCTTGGGGTCGAAACCAGGAGGCGGGTAGTTTTGCGCATTATTCGATGTCGACTCAGTTTGGAGGGCGCGTAGCGGAATGAGGATGCGGATCGCGGGCGAGTTCCTCAGCATAGGGCGATGAGCTCTGGTAGTGGTCCTGATGCCCGCTCGGAATACTGCGGGCGCTGCCCTGGAGGCAGTGCGACCGGCGTACATTGCGCCGGGGGAAGTGTAGGGAGTGACGTATATAGTACAACGATTAAAGTATTGTGGGTAGTGAATCAACAGATGAAGGGTAGAAAAGAGAAGGCTGTGTGTGTGTTGGGAATTTGATGCAAGGAGTGTGGAGTGATGCAGCTCTGAGAAAATGGGTTCCTCTGACGTTGCGTCTTCGGACTTAGTCTCAGGGACCGCCGGGCGATCTGCTGGGTAAAGCTTGGTCGCCACCAACGGGCGCATAAGCCATTCGACTGACGCGCATCATGGTGACAGCTAGGAAGAAACCGGATGGGCGCATGACATGTGCGCCATGGGACGCTACAGGCAGCAACATGTGTACCTCGGATTCATACGAAGAGACGTGAAGGACCGATGGGTATTCTCTATGTCGGCATATTGTCGCCAATTGGCCGAGGCGCTGGGGTCTCCGATGTCCGCAAGAACGACAGCGCGGCTTGCGAATGGCATGCCGTGAATGCTGGGCCGTCCCCTCACTCCACGCCTATCCGACGGTAGTCGTCCCTCTCCCATCTTAACCCAGGTTCCGCGTCTGGGCACTCCATAATTCCTCCTGTCACTTCTCTCCGAACCCTAGTTCCGATCCTCCATTTCATTCCACACAATTTTCGCCATGGATTTGTTTTAGTAACTACGAGCCCTCTGCGGAGCCCTCGAGCTTTATTCACCGTACCGACCTGGATTATACCTAGCAGCATATTCCTAAAGTCGCTTTTATAGCATACATCAGCGACAACACACATCACAACAATGACTGTCCAAAGGTTGTCCAAGGCCGCCAGGATCATACTGGTCGGCGCGCCTGGCGTCGGGAAGGGAACTCAGACGGAGCGCATGATGAAAAAATTCCCTGAGCTCTCGTCAATCAGCTCTGGCGATTTGCTGAGGAAGAATGTTCGGGAGCGGACACCTCTCGGTATGCGCGTTGCTCTCTCCATACCGAAAAATGCTGACTTGCGCAGGCATACACGCCGAATCCACGATGAAGGCTGGCAAACTAGTACCCGACGCCATGATCCTGCGCCTCATCGTCAACGAACTCACGAACCGCGGTTGGATACGAGACAACGCTTTGCGGCCATATGCGCTCAACTTCAGCTCCATGGACGTGCCAGAGACGACGGTAGATGCAGTCATGATCCCCTCGGCGGTACGGGCTCCCCGCTACACCTTCTCCAACAGGCCGTCGGCTTCATTCATACTCGACGGTTTCCCCAGAACCGCCGTTCAAGCGATCCAACTCGACAACATCGTACCTATCAACATGGTTGTCAACCTCAACACCCCGAGTGACATAATCATCGATCGCATATGCAACCGCTGGGTGCACGAGGCATCGGGACGTGTCTACAATACGACATTCAATGCGCCAAAGGTGGATGGCAAGGATGATATCACGGGCGAGCCGCTGACACAAAGAGCGGATGATGACCCAGAGGTGTGGAAGGCGCGGCTGAAAAATTTCAAGGAACATAGTGAGCCTCTGCTGGAGCATTACGACAAGCTTGGCGTGCTCTGGACGGTCAACGGGAACAGCAGCGACGAAATTACCCCGCAGCTTTTTGAAGAGTTCAGCAAGCGCTTCGGCGCCCATGACGATTGATGTGTTTTTCATGTCTCGGATTAGGTCTTGGTTGGTTAAAGGTCACTTACGATATCTCTGTTTTCTCTCATCAAGGTGGGCTCTGTTTGGCGGCATTTCGGTGTGGACGCGGCAATTGCGCGTGTTTGTTAGACAAGTCGCACTTTCTCCATTCACTGTAGATGCTTGGTGACCCTCCATGGTTGTGGCGGTTAGCTACACTCGTTATACACTATTAATCATATTTGCAAAGCTCGCTCACTATATCATGGTCGCTGTAAAAGACTCTCATTCGCTTTACAGGAGCGCGGACGACTTTGAAGCCATGTACGAGCGCGTCAGGAATCGTGCGCCCACCCTGGAGGGCGCTAAGCCCGGGTACCCAGCCGACGTCACCGATTCACCTCCGAGCTGTCCAACACAGCCCACGCCAACAAGCCCGCCGTACCAGTTTGACGATCTGCTCGACGACCCCGAATACGACCGGATTAGCGACTTTGAAGAGCTTGAGAACAGCCGCCTCATATACATCCGCGATCCACACGAGGTCCGTAGACGCGCAATGGCGGCCGACTTCAGCGAAGGGCGCCTGGAGACGTTTGTCGGCAGCCCGCAGAAAGAGCTGCCAGGCACACCAAACCAATATGTCTCGTACCTAGTAACTACAAAGGTGTGCCTCCTGCTGCAGCTCCACTATTCCTACGTGTTCGGGGTCTAACAAACATCCCCGCAGTCCGACTTCCAGTCCTTCCAGAAACCCGAATTCTCCGTCCGCCGCCGCTTCACAGACTTCGTCTTCCTCTGGAAACAGCTCTCGAAAGAGTACCCGCAATGCGCCGTCCCGCCGCTGCCCGACAAGCACAAGATGGAGTATGTGCGCGGAGACCGCTTTGGTCCGGACTTCATGCAGAGACGCGCCCACTCGCTGCACCGCTTCCTCAAGCGGATATCACTGCATCCAGTGCTACGGAGAGCGGCTCTGGTTATCAACTTCCTGGAGAGCCCGGACTGGAATCAACACATGAAGGGACGGTCATCAAGAGCTGCAAGCGGCTCCGACCAGGGCGGCGGCGGCTTCGTGGATGCTGTCACAGAAAGCCTCATCAACACATTTAGCAAGATTCACAAGCCGGACCAGCGCTTCATCGAAGTTGTCGAGCGTGCCAACAAGCTCGGCGAGGACCTGAACAATGTGGAGAAGGTTACCGTCAAGGTAGCCAGGCGACAGGGTGATCTGGAGACCGACTACGCCGATCTAGCGACACAGTGTCAAAAGCTGACGACCATGGAACCTGCGGTCGAAGGGAACCTGACATCCTTCGCTGCTTCTGTAAATACCACCTCACAGGGGTTCAAGTCTATCCGCGACCACACAGACCAGAACTACCTCACTAGTCTGCGCGACATGGACGCATACATCCAAGCCGTCAAGACACTACTCCGCACACGAGAAGGCAAGCAGCTCGATTTCGAACAGCTGAGTGAGTACCTTGCCAAATCTGCCGCGGATCGGGATTCGTTGGCTAGCGCGACAGGGGCCGGCATGGGTGCGTCTGGCTTCCTGCGATCCAAGGTAGAAGACTTCCGGGGTATCGATCACGACCAAGCGCGCCGGCAACGGGTCCGCAAGCTGGAGGTTGAGATTGAGCGACTCACGGGCGAAGTTGAGCTGGCCAAGAAAAATAGTGAGGCCTTTGACGAGCACACCGTCAAGGAGGTACAGGACTTTGAGCGCATCAAAGCGGTCGAATTCAAGGATACGCTGGGCGATCTCGCCGATGCGCATGTCGACTTCTTCCAGGGAACTATCGAGACGTGGGAGAAATTCCTGGAAGACATGCGCAAGGAGGAGGACCAGAGGAAGGCTGCTGCAGAATCGTAGAACGATAACCGACGCGGACCTGCTTTGAAGGAACAGCATGCGCTCACACCCGTTGATGCGCCGTCCGAGTTGAGGTACAGATTTGGAAGTTTTTGAGCGAGTGAGCGGAAGGCAGGGTGAGCCTCCATATGGCAAAGCTCAGTGTAAAGAGCTTGTACAGCAGTTTGTTCCGTTGGCATTTGTATGTAATGATAACCCATTGCGCATCAGTCTCAGACTAGTATCTCAAGTACTTTGTTTTTGGACTGTGTGATGTTCTCACCAGGCTGTGATCTTCACGTGCAAGAGCGATTGGAGCCAAGCGATGACGTGCAATCTCGCATGGCACCAACCCTTGCAGATGGCTCTACCGAGCCGACGGACCCGTACCCTTTAGAAGTTTGACGCCCGCCAGAGCCATCCCGTTGTTCATCCCATCCCACAAGAGACAGGCGGCACCTGCAGCGCATATTCCCCGCTTCACCACATGGCCACGACCCTTATATAAATTAATCGCCCCGCCAAACTCATGTCTCTCCCACATCCCGTCACACACAATCCCGCCATGCCGCCGAGCAAAGGTACGCCCCCTTGACGATCCACCGACGCGCATCCAACTAACATGATTAATTGCGCAGAAACCGCGAGGCATGAGTGCGTCTCCGAAGATGCGCTGCAACACCTCAGGACCTACAAATACTCGAGCGTCGACAAATCCTTCATCTCCCGCTACATCCTCAAGCATTACGTACGCACCCTGCACCCGCGCAATCGCAACGCGCCCTGACGTGAACATAGTGGAATGCCTTTGTCGAACTGCTGCCGCTATGGCTGGCGCCGAACCTCGTCACGTTATTAGGGTTCTTCTTTATCCTGGGCAACGTCGTGCTGCTCGAGCTTTACATCCCGGATCTGGTCGGACCAGCGCCCTCATGGGTATACTACAGCTTCGCTTTTGGCATGTGGATGTAAGAAACACAACAGCACAAGGGAGTGAGGGCTGCGCTAATCCCTTGCAGGTACTCCACCATGGACAACGTCGACGGAAAGCAAGCGCGCCGAACCGGCACCTCGAGCCCGCTGGGAGAACTTTTTGAGTACGTGATAAACACAGCCCAATGCGCCAATATCACGATACTGATTGTGACGTAGCCATGGAATTGATTCTTTGAACTGCACTTTGGCCAGTCTCCTCGAGACGGCGGCTGTTGGTTACGGCTCGACCAAGATTGGCGCTTTTACTGCGCTGATCCCTGTGCTGCCCATGTTCTTCTCGACTTGGGAGACATACCATACCCATACGCTGTATTTGGGCTACTTCAACGGTCCTACAGGTACGTTAGCTGCTTGATTGGCGTGGACATTACTGACTCTCAACAGAGGGGCTCATCCTTGCATGCACCTTCATCTGCATGTCCGGCTACTTCGGCCCAGAGATCTGGTCAAAACCCCTCGCGACCTACTTCCCATCATACAAAGCAGAAATCGGCGACGTAACCCTGAAAGAACTCTGGGTACCCATCATCCTCTTCACCTTCTTCGCCGCCCACCTCCCTGCTTGCATCGTCAACGTAGCGAAAGCGCGTCGCTCCAGGAACGAGCCTCTGCTACCCCTGCTCAAGGAATGGACACCACTAGTCATCTTCGTCGTCTCCACCATGGCCTGGCTCGGATCGCCCTACTCGAAACTACTAGAAGACAACCACCTCGTCCTCTACTGCCTAACCATGTCGCTCGTCTTCGGACGCATGACAACCAAGATCATCCTCGCGCATCTCACACACCAGCCCTTCCCTTACTGGACCATCATGCTCGCCCCCATGATTGGAGGCGCCCTGCTCATCAATCACCCCTACTTCACCATCCCCGGCACGACATTCGGTCCCATTTCCGCTAGCTTTGAACTCTGGTACCTACGCGCTTACTTCGTTTTCGCCGCTGTGGTGTACGGCAAGTGGGCGCATTTGGTCATTACGAGTATCTGCGATTACCTCGGTATCAACTGCCTTACTATTCCTAAGAAGACGAGTGAGAAGAATGGGAGGGCGAATGGTGTTGTCGATGGGAAGGGCCGAACCGACTAAATGTTCCTTGGCCCTGGACGAAAATCTGCGCCACCACGACCAAAACCATTCGACACGCATAGACTGGGCGGCACGTCTCTATCATCGACTTTAGCGTTCCATCCGCATCATATCGCAACGCATCGCAGCGCAAGCGATACTTCACGACTATCCGACAAAGACCGTATACTTGACGTTTTTGACGACCTGCTTTGGATATACACATTTTTATTAAGCCTTGTAATTAGCAATGCTGGATCGTATGATGCGATTCCAGCATGTTCTCACTTATTCATCATCAGTAGACTTTTTAATTGCGTTTTCAACAACGTTTACAATAGAAATGCACCAGTGGTGGTGCTTGGACGGAAAGATGAAAGACGGGTTGTACAGAGGAGAGGGAGGAAGAGGGTAGATAGAGAGTGAAGTTGTAGAAATTAAAGTAATGCATATCGAGACTGGTAGTCTTTGATTATCGAGCGCGTGGCAATGCGTGTGATACTCGTATCTGGTTTTATTTGGATGTGTAGCAAGCAAGTATGCGAGGAATAACTATCATCGCTTACTCAACTACCTGTGTGTGTATATGATGAATCTTCTCTCCTCAGCTTACCATGCGCGTGTGGAATGAAGGAGCAAGAGTCAGTCTAAGTTAGCCATGATACACGTCTAAGATAACGACATGTGTTCAGGCACCCGGATACCTGCATGCTGTTGAGCACATGATATCAGATGTATTGATTGCCCCTACATGGCTGTCCATGGAGATATCGTTTGGAGCAAGCACATCCGAGATACTTATTATGACTTACCTGCTTGTGTCCCTAAGCATCACATTGGGCTAGTACGCCGCCACGTTGCCATGGCGTCCCTTAAGAACACCAAAATATCCACAAAATTACACATATTCAAGTCACTATCATTGGAGGCTGCTAACAGTCCACTTACTACACATAACCGCCGACACTCCCCTCTCTTCCGCTTACCCGGCGAGCTCAGAAATGATATCTTTGCCTACGCTTTCACCGAACAAAGCATCATAGTTCGTCCATGCATCTCTCCTCGCTACCAATTCCGCGTCGAACCCTCAGGCTACC